CCCCCCCCCCCCCCCCCCCCCTCTCGAAAACTGGACAAAAGTTTGTGCTCGTCCCCCGTCCCAACCTGACCCCATCCCAACCCGTCACCCAGCCCGTATCCCCGATCCCGCTCCGACCTTGCCCCATCCCGACCTTCTTGACCTCGATCCGACCTTGCCCCATCCCGTCCCGTTCACCCTTCCCAATCCCCGATCCCACGACCTCGCCCATCCCGACCGGTAAACCTTCCCTCCCCTCCCCTCCCGAAACCTGATTGTCGATCCCCATTCCGTCCTCGCCCCATCCCGACCCGTCACCCTTTCCGATCCCGTTCTGATCTCGTCCCATCCCAGCCCGTAATCCAGATCCCGCTCTGACCCCGCCCATCCCGACCTTCTCGGCCTCGTTCCGACCCTGCCCCCCGTTCCGACCTTGCCCCATCCCGACCCGTCCCGCCTCCCGATCCCGTTCGGATCTTGTCCCATTCCTGTCTCTTATACACATCTAGATGTGTATAAGAGACAGACCCCGCCCATCCCGACCTTTTCGGCCTCTTCCCGATCCCGTTCGGATCTTGTCCCATCCCGGCCCGTAACCCTCCCCGGTCCCGTTCTGGCCCCCTGGTCATCGCCCCCCCCCCTGTCTCTTATACACATCTAGATGTGTATAAGAGACAGCCCCTGCAGATATTGGACTCTGGGCCAAGAGAATTGAGCATATTGACCTCTGAAAGGTTTTCATATCTGCAGACCCGGTCTACGTATGGCTGTAGTCCCATACAAGTCAACATCAAGCCCAACCACATAGACTCCACCTCTGACCCTACCCATTTTTTATTATTTTTTTTTTTTTAATGATTCGTTCAGTTCATATTGCAAAAATTGAAATCAGAGGCCGGGGACCTCACAATTCAACCCGGAGTTATCCCGGCAGCATCAGCCGATTTAGCTTATAGTCTCAACTTCTCATTTCACGTCCGAAGTTCAAACTGTCCCACAGTCTAATTCCTATATACATCGTCCCACTATATACCCTATCTATCCTAACCCTACCCTACCCATTTTAGGCTCTGCTTTAAGCAATTTCTTTATTCGCCAATCCTTGCCGAGCCTGATTTTCACTGCACACCCAGTTTTGCCGAGCTTGGGTCCCATCGTATTTCTTTTTTGGTACTCACAGGGCTACATCCGAAAAAGAACCAAAAAAAAAAAAAAAAAAAAAGAAGACGGAAAAAAGCAGAAACTTTCCTAACGCCGTCATAGCCATCCTATACATTCTATGAGGTGCTCGTGAGACTGTCCCTCAGGGTTTCAGAGACCTAAGTTTGTATTTAGTTTATAACGTAAGACCCATCGTCATGAAAACAAATGAAGAACCAAAAAAAATAAAAAAATCCCTTATGCTGCGATCGCGGTCTGATAGAGAATGACACAGTGCTGATGTGAGTACGTGGTGACTGAGGCAGTTACCTGCCCAACCTGCCTCACTGGCAGGGCACAAAAAAGAAACGAAAACAACGAAAACAAAAATGGAAACAGAGGATAAAGTGAACCTCGTATAGAAACAACTGAAAAAGCTTCCTGAACACCGCATAGCTAGTCTCCTGTGCCTTGCACAAGGGCCTTTCAAAAAAAGAAAAAAGAAAAAAAAGTATCCTGTGGCTCCAAGCTCTAGGCATAATCCGGTCAGCTGAATGGCTAACAACTGGTTCACATTCAGATGGTTTTTTTTTGAAACAAAGGCGGACGCGGCATGTTTTGAGTTCCTAAAGGCACGAAAGAGTCCCTTTTTTTTTTTTTTTTTTCTTTTTTTTTTTCTTAACAACAACCCAGTAGAATGCTAGGGGTGCTGATAAAAGCAGACACTCCTAGCAATCTCCGGGAGGCTCCATCTATTGGTGGGGAGCAGCACCTGCTGGAAAGCGGGTCCAGCGTCCCTGAACATTTGAAGGCACGAAAAACAGGCCTTCGGCGACTGTGTCAGGGCCTGAGTTCGAAAAGGCGTTCGTAACTCAGGCCAGCGGTGGTGTCAGGGCGGAGGTTCATTAAGGCGGTTTTTTTTT